TCGGAGGAACTGCATGATGTCCTCACGAAACCGTCTGATCAACACTCCTACAGCCATGTTCGCCATAACATATCCTTTCTACTGGCAAGGATCCACTCGTGGTCTCTGGAACATGCTCTTCCCAACCGCAATGAAGCAGCCGCAGCTATTGCAGAGAGTGTTACTCGTGATTCTCGGCACCAGTCGTACATTGCCCGACTTGCACCTGTATGGCTTCATCATCTTCTCGCTTTGGAGTCTAAGTAAGAGAAGGTTTAGGTGAGGCTTCTATTTTCTTTGATGTCTATTGACATTGTGTCTTTGATTCAGTTTGTTTTCTACATGTTCTACTTTGTTCCCCAAACAATCAGTGTTATAAAAAAAAAAGTTTATATTAGAGTTCAACTCCTACAAACTGGAATCACAAAAGGAAACGAAACGTGGGGTTTTTTGTCCAAATATTAGAACCACAACTTTATTTAATATATTGAAATAAAATGACAGGTGGCAGTGAAATGCATATAATATCTAGATGGTTTTTAGGTGGTTTGTATTCGTCGATGCCTTGTGTATTCAAATCAGGTGGTGGTTTGTGTTCTAACGGCAGATTCGTCGTAAAACGGGTAAAGCTCGTAACGTGAACCACAGCTAGGCAAAAGAAGTCTCGCCCCAATTCTTTCGGTGGGTAATTGATTGATTGACGTTTGCAGACAACGCATACAGTCTTGTCCTGTCAAATCAGGAGTGCACTGAACAAGTCCGTACAAACTCTGCAAATCAGTAAAATTGACTTTTCTCGCATCGAATTTTCGGGAGCTAGCCACTGCCTTGGTTGCCGCTTGGTTCAGGGTGGACAAAACCAAATCTCTGAACCGGTCTTGCTGATCAGGTGGAATACTATTGAGGTTAGGCAAGGTGTATCCACCATCGGTTCTAAGGGTCGAGAGAATATTCCGGTGAGAGTATCTCAGCGTACACTCATCGTAATAGAGCACGGCCTCGCTCTGATTTGGACAACGTGTCAAGGATTCGTTGACGGCAAAAGACACGCAGTTACGGCATATTTCCGGCGAGACATCTCCGCGGCATAGGAAAAGTCCGGTGACCATATCTGGAGCTTGACCCGCCTTACCATTTTGGAATCCAGTTGAGTATGAAGCGTTGGGGGAAGAAAGGGTAGCCAAAAGGGTTTTGAGATTGGTGAAGTAAGTACTGTTCCTTGAATACGTTGTCGTATTTGGACAAAAGAAGTATAAGAGAGAGAGGTTTTGTGAAGAAACTCTGAAGCAAGTGAGAATGGAGAAAAGGAAAAGGACAATAAAAGTGGCGCACGAAGACATAGTTGCAATTTCCCTATGTCAAGAAGCTCCGATATATGAAAGAAATTTTTTTTTCTTTCTTTCTTTCTCTGCGACTGTTGTAGATTAGCGTTTAACTGAGGATGCTTTTTATAACGAGAAATGACTACTAATCAAAGGTCAAAGTAAACGCCCAACATGTGTTCCGAATCATATCCATTACTTTTTTTTAGCATTTCTCTAATTCTTTCTAGATGATATAGAAATTGGGCAATATGGCCGCAATTTCTTCTGATAAAGTGTTAAAACAGTTCAAGTTAATTTCTCACTCTATTTATACCTTCAACTTGGGATAACATTTTTTAACACTGATTAAAATTTTCAATTTTTTTTTGTCAACTGTCCATCTAAACATTAAAATTGTCAATTACGTCTTCATAAAATATATATTTCTATTACATATCATTATTAGCTACCTGCAACATATGCGATATTGATGGATAATTTCACGAACAATGATTTCACGACGTAGCTCACCCCTTAATATTCATATTGACATACGATTTTGCATGTACAAAATCCTCAATATACAAGCTCTCTTTGCATCAAATTATCACAACCAACGACTCAACCATCACTACTTTGAAACTTCCAACAAGTTTTGCATCCTTTGGGAATCAAACAATAAACCTGATGTAGAAGCCTTTAAGAAGGCATTGGATAGTGCCTGCTCCTGGATCAGTTAGATGATGGGGTGTCCGAGGCTACTAGCACTTTGATAAGGATGATGGTATTGGCTTTTAATTTACTGGTTTGCTTAAAGTTGAGTTGCTTCCTTGAAACCGAGTTCACCTTGTTTGTGTTTGAAGTGCTTCACATTTGAAATCTATTCCCTTTAGGTGAGACTAAATTCTCAATCATTGAACAAAGAAGGTGAAGAAGCTTTGGAAATGATGGATCCTTGATCAGGATTGTCCCTTGAATGCTCTTTGAGGGTCGATTTGATAGACAGATTATGCAGGCTACTAGCACTGAACACAAGATGAATAATGATGGAATATCTATCGGTTACTAACACAAGCAGAGGATGAAAGGAGCCGATGAGTTTTTGGATGGACTTCACTCTTAAGCTTATGGAAGACTAACACTTGTGTAGAAGTGTCTTTGATCATGAGAGGTGTTCCCACAAACAATGATAAAAAATTGCTTACTTAGAAATCACTTTCTTAGGCAGTTTGAAGTTCAATGATGAACAAAAAAATCACAGTTTTAAGAGATAGTTTTTGTTAAAAAGGTGATTGATTATTATTCATGTCAACCATGCACTTATATAGGTTACAATCATGTAGAAAAAAAGTCTGATTATGCTAAAATAAGAACTTATGGACTAACAACAAAGACTTAACTTTTTATGAAAAACAGAAATGTGGAGTAATACTTTTGACCCGAATGTTGAATGTCTCTTTCCTTGCCACGACCTTGACTCCTTTATTGACATTCCTTGGTGAAAATGGTTCAGTAAACTAATAACAAAGGCCAGGTCTAGTTTGGCTTGAAACAAAATCAAAGAGATTTGTTATGATTTTTTATGGGTCAAAAACACTCCTTGGGCACATTGATCCAAAACGTGGCCATAAGATTTCTTGCACATGTTGGCATGTGTTTCTGACTTTGGCTTGATGGAAGAGTGCATTGTTTCACAAAGAATAAACATGAACTTCACAAGATTATTGGGTGGCGAATTATATCGATATGCCCGAAAATGTGAATTCTTTGAACATCTCTCAAAACTGCACGCCCCAAACTGATTTTGGCTCAATTAGAATTCTCCTTATGCTTATTTGGTTGAGTGAAATAGTCTCAAGAATCCCCTTGGAGCTCTGGTTTGTCTTTCTCCATTTCAAGCTCCTTCATTACCCATATCGGGTCATCTTGATCAGTTTTAGAGCTGGTCATGGTTACATCATTCCCCTTTTTCAGAAATATCTGACCTCAAATATTATTCTCCTATATTCAAAGAAATTGGATCAGTAACATGGAAATCATAAAAAGACTTAGGTTTACCTTAATAGACTTTGTCCTTGTTTAGGACAGATTTTTGTCGATCCTAGGTGTTCATCAGGTTTGGTCCATGATCAATATGGTCACCATTTATTTGAACCAACCACGCCTGTGATGATTGATCTTTGCTATGTTTTCCCTGTACTTGCATAAAATCTAGCAAACGCACATCAAATTTGCTAAAACATCAATCACTAGACTGATCAAACAAAGACTCTTGATTCAAAATGTTTTCTAAACTTTTTCCTCGATCATCAAATCTTTTGTAGTATTGCAGAAACGTTTTAAGACCGAAAACCAAATTAGAAGTGTTACTTTTTATCACTGAGAAAACTATTTTGTTCAAAGAATTTTCTGGTTTAAATTTCTTAGAAGAACAGATCAGTTTATCGAAAACAGAATTTGAAACACATGATTCTTTCACATTCTCAAGACCAAAATGTTTTTCATCTTCAGAAGACACCAAAATAAATAAACCAAGAAATAAACTAATCTTATCAAGTTCTTTACATTGCTTATGAGAGTAAAAAGAGAATGACATAGGATTTGTTTCTGGTTTAAAGCTGGTTGGATGCACCAACACTTCTTCTTATGGTAACTCTTTGGTGCTTCTTCTCGCTTCCTAATAGAGTCATTCTTTATATCTACTGATATAAGTTGTTATTTAAATTTGGACCATTTCTAGAGTGTTACAAATAATACAAGTTATATAGTTGATTGAACCGCATTACTTAAATTAAAGGGGGAATTGCAAAAACCAACCCAAATATTCATTTTAACCCTAAAGGTGTACCCCATATTCAATCAATTGCAAACCCAGCCTAAAGGGGTGTTAAAACTACTATTTAACCCTTATGAACAAACAAAAAACGTGGAATATATTTTACGATTCTGTCCTTCGTAGGTCTATACTTTAAGAAAGAAGTCTACAACTAGGTAGACTTACATTAACGTCTACTGTGTAAACTAATGTAGACTTGTTATTTAGTCTACATCTTAATTTAATCAAATAATTTAATTTTAAAAATGTAGAAAAAATGTTTTTGGTAAATTTTTTAATAAATCATCAATTTAAAGGTTAGTATGAGGTAGATAAATTAAATTTTCTTATAATTGAACAATTTAAAAGAATATATATTGATTTGGGAACTATGTGGTAGACAATGTTAATGGTTTAGCAACCAAAGGTTCTAACATGTTATGTCTTTTAGAGTTAGATTCTTAGGGTTAGATTCTAGATTTAGAATTATTTTGTTTAAATGATTCAAAATTGCATATTTAATGTTGAGTAGTTTATATTTTGTATATATGATATTTGGTACAATAACTAAGATTTTTTTTATAATCAATCAAACGTTTAGGGTTTGAGATTTGGGGTTTAGGGTTAGAGATTTCTGGTTTAGGGTATAGTAGACTTATAGTTAAGTCTACTTATATGTAGACGTCTATTTCAGTCTACGTTAATTTGTGTTTACCAATATAAATTATTTTAAAATTAAAATTAACTAAGCAGGAAGTGAAAATAAATTTTGGAGCCTATTTTCCATATTGGCGCCAATATTTAGGGTATAGTAGATTTACAGTAAAGTCTACTTATATGTAGACGTCTATTTCAGTCTACGTTAATTTGTGTTTACCAAAATAAATTATTTTAAAATTAAAATTAACTAAGCGGGAAGTGGAAATGAATTTTGGAGCCTATTTTTCCATATTGGCGCCAATATTTAGGGTATAGTAGACTTACAGTAAAGTCTACTTATATGTAGACGTTTATTTCAGTCTACATTAACCATTTTTACCTAACCGAAAAAATTACACAGCTTATAAATATTTTTTTTAGGGTTTTCTGGTAAAAAGAATCCTAATCTCGCCGTTTAGATCTGAGGCGGTTTAGGGGGCGATTTCCGGTGAGATTTCCGGCGAACCCTCTTCGACTCCGTTTTCACACCCAGTCACCTTCCTCTCGGAATCAACATTCACCACCACGACCATCACCACTATCCTCTCCCATCCTTCAGCTATCTCCACCTTGTCTCCTCCTCATCTCCTCCTCCTCACCACCATTACTCTCCGCCTCGTCTCCTCTTCATCTCCACCATTACTTTCCGCCTTGTCTCCTCCTCATCTCCTCCTCGTCATCACCATTACTCTCCTCCCTGTCTCTCTTTCTCTCTCTCTTTCTCTCTCTCTCTCTCTCTCTATATGTGTTTATAAAGAGTCTCTCCATCTCTTATTTTTTTTGATTAAAGTGTTCAATTTTCGTTCTAGGGTTTGTATATATTCAATTTATTTGCTGTAAATTGAAATGCATATGTTGTTGACGAAAATTGATGAAGTGTTATGAGCTAATACATGTTTGTAGTGTACAAGCATGTGTTGTGTTTTATTGATTTCTCTGGCTGTTTTTGTTGCAGGTTGCTCCCAGAATTTTACTGCAGACTACGATTTGTAGACTTTTACTGCAGACTACAGATTTGTAGACTGTCTTATAGGTTTACATTAATTTAGACTGAATATACAGTCTACATAGAAAATCTATTAAAAATTGGATTTGTGTATTGTTTATTTTAGGTTTCAGATTCTGTTTAGAGTAACATTGATTGTTCATTGTATTTTCGGATGCATTGTCTTAGATTCTGTATAGAGAAACACTGATTTTTTTATTATATAGTTGGATGCATTGGGTTAGCTTAAGCTTGTTTTACTCCTTATTCTGGTTGTAGGTTCTATCTTGTTTAGTACTTCTGGTTCACAAGACTTAGTTTTTAGATGCATTGGGTTAGTTACTTTTCAGGCAATGGGGATGAATTGCTTACACACCAGCACACCAACAATTGTTCATCGTGATTTAAAAACACCAAACCTTTTGGTTGATAATAACTGGAATGTTAAGGTACGTAAATATTTTTTCCTAAGCTGACTAACTAAAAGGCTTGTTTGCTCTGATGCTGGATTATTGAATTTTGTTTTCGTTTATCTCACTAATCTTGCAGGTCGGTGATTTTGGGTTGTCTCGCTTAAAGCACAATAC